GGGGCGGGTGGCATTGGAATGAAATCCCCAAGGGTGCCTCCCTCTCGATATTTCAGATTCTGGAGGGGCGGGTGCTGCGTGTCAGGGGTTCTGGGGGGACAGAACTGTTTTCACGTGGTATGCCCCAGGGGCACTGTGGCCCTGGTCACTGCCCCAGGAGACCCTCTTCTCCCCATGGTCTTCACCCTGAATGCCCCATCTCTGTGTGCAAGACACCATGGGCAAGATTTTCCCAAGAGACCCCTCCAAGCTCTGCATTAGGACACCTTTACATGTTTTATTTTATCTGAAAGATACTCAGAGATCTTCTGTCCACTGTTCACTCCCCAAATGCCCACTACAGGCACAGCTGGGTCAGGCTGGGGCCAGGAGACAGAAACTCGACCTGAGTTTCCCACAAGGGTAACAGGGACCCAAGGACTTGAGCCATCACCTGCTGCCTCCCAGGGTGTGCACGCGCAGGAAGCTGAAGCAGGAGTGGAGCCAGGCCCTGTGACATGAGACAAAGACATCCCTGCACCTGACTTGATATTTTTGTTTTCAATGGTAATCCATTTGTCACAGTTTTTTTTTTTTTAAGATTTATTTCTTTATTGGAAAGTCAGATATACAGAGAGGAGGAGAGACAGGGAGCAAGATCTTCCATCCGATGATTCACTCCCCAAGTGAGCGCAATGCTATGCGGATCCGAAACCAGGATCCAGGAACTTCTTCTGGGTCTCTCGTAGGAAGTGGAGGTGCCAGGATTAGAACTGGCGCCCATATGGGATCCCGGTGCGTTCAAGGCAAGGACTTTAGCCGCTAGGTCACGCCGCCAGGCCCCGTCACAGTTTTCTAAGTGTCAGCCAGTCCCTGTGCCTCGTGTGGGCTAGGGCCACACGCATCTTGCTCATTGCCATATTCCCCCAGTCAGGCTACTGTCTGTTTCGCATGAGGCACTCAGGGCCGGATGATGGGCTGCAGGACAAACCACCACCGGGGGCTTGCACCGCCCTGTGAGTCAGGTGTAACTGCCCATGTTCCCATTTTACTGTCATAGGAAACAGAGGCTTTCAGAGATTAAGGATCGCCAGGACCAAGTAGTGCCACCTCTCCCAGCTGGGGCAGGCCACCCAAGGGCCAAGCACAGTAAATGCTGATGGAGTGATTGATTACATGGGAGGCAGAGTGGTGCCGGGGAAAACGCTGGCGACTTCACCTTAACATTTGCTTTTTGAGAACCAGTCCATCTCTGCCTCCCTCCCTCCATCCCTCCACCCATTCATTCATTTCTGTGGTTACCTACTCACTTATTCACTAATTGGTGATTAGTCCTGAGTACCTGTGCTGGGCCCCAGGACAGGTAATAAGGAACTCACAATGCTGTGTTGTCAGGGCTGGGGTGGCGGAAAGCCCAAGGGGAGACCCCAATCACCCCCCCCACCCCAAGGTCAGGAAGTCTTCCCCAAGGAGGTAGGCAGGGGACAGAGGCTCAGTGCAGGCGCGTGGACTTCTGGGAGATGCTTTGGAATCAGGTATGGCAAGCAGCAGCCCGAGCCCTTCATGGAGGTGGCACGGACACTTGACAGCGAAGCCACCTGGCTCCAGGCTGACTGACTCACTTTGCCCCACCCCATGCCTGGAACTTCCGCTGAGCCAGGCTGAGCTGCAGTTGGGCAGGACGCAGCGGGAGGCAGGTGACCCAAGGCCAGGGCCCAACTCCGCCCTGTGGCCTCTTCCCTTGTGTGTGACTCAGTTTACCCACCTGCAAAGCTCTTGTGACTCCTGTCTCTCATTCTCGACCTTGGTAGCAGCCGTGAGCCCTGAAAAATATATAATCCCCAGGGCTGTGGTCCCAGCCTCCAGAGGGTGGAATAGAGAAATGTCCAGGGCCCTTTGGCAGGTGTCCGGGCTGGGAAGGGAAGAGGAACAGCAGCCCCCCTCTCCCGGGACAAATAGTGCCACCCCTCCCAGCTGGGGCAGAACTTCCCGACCAGGCCGAAGGTACAGGGGTCTGCTCCTGAGGCAGTTAGCTTCCCTCCCCCACTTGCCACCTCCACCCTTTCCCCAGCGCCCCTCCAAGGGAGCTGACCCCTCAGAGGCTGCCCTCTGCCCTTCACTTCCTGTCTCCCCTCCCCCTCAGGCTCTCCTGCTGTGAGCCTGCCCAGGGTCTTCCTCCATGGCTTCCCGCTAGCTTTGGTGGAGGGCCCTTCTCCCACTTCTAGAAAATGCCAGTCTCTTTCCTACTTCAGGGCTTCTGCCTTGGCCAGCTTTGCGGCACCTGCCATTTAGGTCACTATTTAAATGCTTCCTCCTCGGATGCCCCCTACACCCCACCCAGAAAACCAGCTTCTCTTCTGCCTCATTGGCGCTCATTCTCAGCTTGCCAGTTCCATCCCAGGCTGGTGAGTGAGGGTTGATTCCTTCGGGGGTGGGGTGGAGTGGGACTGTCTCTTCCACCCTGGCCCTGGGGAACTCCTGGAGGACAAAGAGCTCAGAGAGCCCATGACCGCAACACAGCACTTGCTGCACCTGCTGGACAATGTTTGAAAAAGTGAGACACAAAAAATACCACTATTGTTCATCTCCCTCCTTGAATGCTTCTTGGCCCCATGTGCAGGAGAAAACTGGTATATGCCAAACACCCTCATGAATATCTTTATAGCCACAACAACATGCCCATTATACAGATGATAATGTTGGGAACCTATGGCCTAAGGTTGCCCAGTTCATTCAAGCAGGGAGGCTGCTAAGTGGGTGGTGCCTTTGAGCATGAAGGGGGCGTGGCAAATGAAGTCCCATATCTGCCCTTGCTATCGCTCCTGCTATACCAGAAGACAGCTGAAGAGTGCCAGCTAAGTCTGAGGTCCAAAAAGACAGGCAGAGACCCACAGGAGAAGTGTGTCTTAGTGCTCAGATAGGACCCCAACTCCTAAGTTAGAGGAGACATTGAGAGCGGCCAGTAGCATTGCCGGGCTGTGGCATCTGTTCTCAAGCCGGGAGTCAGCTGGAAGGACAAGTGTCCCAGAGGTTAGGGGCACATCAAGTGTCGCTGTAGACCAGGCCCTGGGGAGGAAGCCTCCGGGCCGTGCTAGGACCTGGGCTTCCCAACTGGACAGGAGCCCTGCTCCCTTCTCCCCAAGCTGGGTGGTCTGGGGCAGTGCCTTCTCCTCTCTGATCATCTCTTTACATGGAGGCCGTCAGCAAGTATCCAGAAAGAACTCTTGGGAAGAGAAAGAGAAAAAATGACTGTCGAGTTGTTGGTGTATATAAAGTAACATAGAAATGTAAATTGTCTAAAAATAATCTCCTATGTGAAATGCAGAGAGAGGGGCTGGGACTTGGAAGACCTCTGGGTTCCTTCACTGTTTACTGGTACCTACTGTGTGTCAGATGCCGTGCTGGGGCCCTGAAATACAGGGATGAGTCAGCTGTGGACCCAGGGCACCTGGCTCCCAGGGGGACAGAGGGAGCAGGTGCACCCAGAGCCAGGGGTTCCTTCTCAGGGTGGGGGAGGAGACAGGGGAAGCCTCCCTGAGGGATGTGGGAGCAGGAGCTAGGCAGACCTGCCGGGAAACCCACCTCTCACCCGCTTCCTCCATGACCTTGAGCAGGTCAGGCTCCCTCTTTGTCCCAGCCCTTTATCTGTACAAGGTGGTGGTCTCCACCGACTTTCAGAGCTGCCAGGGCGTGGCACACAGGCGTTGCCAGGTGGAGGGACTGTGGGAGAGGAGGAGAGGAAATGGACCTGCACTGGCTGAAATCTGGGCCCTCCGGTATTGGGCTGCAAAGTTGCCTGCAGCACTGACCTGAGCACCAGGGCTGGGGCTAATTTAGGGGTGTGTGTCCCTTCCTGCCCACTCCCTACCCTCACTGGTGACCCCCAGGGGACGCCAGGGAGAGCAGTAAAGCATTTCCTCCCACCTTTTAAAAAAGGAGGGCAGAGATCCTGGGCCATTGGCTTGTGCCTGTATTTATGTAGGTAATTTTATTAAGGGGAAGGGAGCTAGCTCCAGCCAAGGTCAGATCTGCCCAGGTGGGAGGAGGCTGGTGGGGCCACCTCCAGTCCAAGGTGCACCTACGTGTCTGCTAGGAGGGTCTCGCGGGCAAGTTGAGGCTCCTCTTGGGAGGCTGTGGGGTTCTCTTAAGCCAGGCCACCGGCCACCATGCCACTTCGCAGGGCCCTGTGGCTGCCCAAGAGCGGTGGGGGCGCACAGAAGCCACGCAGGCCAAACTTCGGGGAATTCGAGGTGAGGCAAAAGGAGAGGAAGTTTGGGGGCCCAGGGACTGGGCTTTGGGGCTTCCCAGGGGGAACACGACCGACGCTCGAGGAAGAGAGGGAAGAAGGGAGGGAGGAGAGCCCGTGTCAGGGGGCCCGGGCCAGGCGAGGTCGGGCTGGGAGGCCCGGGGAGGCAGGGACGTGAGAGGCTGGGCTGGGGCCGGTGCCGGACTCCCCGTGGGACCGCCGTGTCCCGCCGCAGCACAGCCTGAGAGGCTCCAGCCGGCCTCGCCAGATGGAACGCGGTCCCTGGGCTGGGCACTGCGCGCCTGCGGCTCCTGCCCTCCCGGCGGCTGCGGGTGCGGCGGGCCCTGCGCCCCCAGGGGCGGGCCGGGCGGGGGCTGGGCCCGGCGGGCCGACGCGGGAGGGAGGGGGCGGGCGGCGGCGAAGGCTGTGCCGCTCTAACAGGTGGGATCCCGCGGCGTGGTGGAGGCGGGCGCGGGAGGAGGAGGAGGAGAAGGAGGAGGAAGAGCAGTGGCAGCGGGAGCCGAGCAGGAGCAGGACGAGCCGCGCGAGCTGACAGCCACCACCGCCGCCCGCGCCCAGGCTCGGTCTCGCTCCCCGCCTCCCGCCTCCCCTGGCCGCCCGCGGGGCGGCCCGCCCCCTCTGCACCTCCGGGCCCCGGAGCTGCCTCCATCGCTCCTGCATCCCGGCCGGGGGGGAGGAGGAGGCGGAGCAGGAGGCGAGCCGGAGCCGCCGCCGCCAACGCCGCCGCCGCCGCCCGAGCAGGACAGAGCGCGCCGCAGCCCCGCGCGTCCGGCCGCCGCCCGCGCCCATCAGGCAGCCGCGTCGGAGCCACACCGCGGGACAGCCCCGGCCGCGGTGCGCCCCGGCCCGACCTAGCCCAGCGCCGTCCCAGCACCGGGCGGCCGGGTGGCCGGCCCGCCCCCGAGGGCACCGGGCGCGGCGGGAGGATGCCGAAGCCGACGCTGCTGCTGCGCGGGGGCTGGGAGCGCGAGCGCAGCCCCGGGGACTCGGAGCTGGGCCGCCAGTTCCGGGACTGGTGCCTGCGCACCTACGGCGACTCGGCCAAAACCAAGACGGTGACACGCAGCAAATACCAGCGGATCGCCGAGGTCCTGCAGGGCGGCGGCGGCGGGACCGGCGCGGGCAGCGGCCCCGCGGCCGGCGAGAAAGGCAAGTTCCAGTTCTGGGTGCGCTCCAAGGGCTTCCGCCTGGGCAGCGGCCGGGAACCCAAGATGGGCCAAGTGGTGTATGTGCCGGTCAAGACGGGCTCGGTGAGTGAGCGCGCGGCGGGTTCCGGGCGGGCGGGGGCGCGCTGGGGGGGGGGGAACGGTGTGCGGGGTGTGGGTGTGTGTCTGAACGTGTGTCCCGCACGCTGTCCGTGTGTCTGGCCCGCCCGAGGCGCACGCGTCCCTGCGCGTCCGCCTTGCCCCGGCCGCTTGGGCTGCGCTCCGGCTTGGGGCGTCCCTGCCCCCGCTCTGCGCCGCTGCCCGGGCCGTGGCCGTGCCGGGCGGGCTGTCCCGGGCTGCTCACCCCAGCGTGTTCCGTCCTCCCGTCCCCTCCCCCCCGCCAGCAGCCGGCTGCTCCGTAGCCCGAGCCTCCCCCCGCCCCCCGCCCGCTCCGGGGCTGCCTGTCCCGGGCGCCTCGCGCTCCCGCCCCCGGGCCGGCTGGGCGGTGTGTATGTGTGTGTGTGTGTGTGTGTGTGTGTGTGTGGAGGGTGGTGCCGCGGGCTGGGAGGGGGTGGTGGTGGCGTGGAGGCCGGAGCCGCCACGGGACAGGGAGTCCGCCGGGCCTCCCTGCGCCTGGGGAGGGGACCGGCCCGGGCACTGTCGCCCCGACCCCACCCCGGGGTTAGCCCCGGGGAGGGGCGGCCGGAGCCGCAGCCTGGCGCAGGAGCAAACCTCCCGCGGGTGGGTGGGGCGCCCCCTCCGCGCCCCGGGCCCCTGGCTCCCCCCTCCCCAGGACGGGGGCGGCCTGACCTCCCCATCGCCTCCCCATCGCCTCCCCTCCCTCCCCTCCCCCGTCCCCGGGGCCGGCCGGGGCCGGGCGGGGTGGCGCGGGGGAGGGGGCGGGGAACCGCAGCCGCCGAGCGGGAGGAGGCCGGCGGCCTGGCGGGGGCGTCCCCTCCGGACCGGGGCGCCCTAGAGAGGGCGTACGGCGAGGGCCCCGTGGCTCCCCCGCCGGGACCTCATTGTTCTGCAGAGGGTGGGGGCTGGGGGGGCGCCCGGCCGCTCCCGGGGTGCTGCTGAGCTTTGAACTTTACGGGTCCCAGACCCTCGGTTGGTGCGTCCCGCCCCCGGCCGGGCCACGCTCGCCTCCCTCCCTGCCCCCCAGCTCCCTCCCTGGCCTCGGCGGGCCGGAGCGCGAGAGAGCCAGAGAGCGGGGCGGCCCCGCGCCGGCCTCCCTCCCGCCCTCGCTCCCCCCTCCGCGCTCCTCCCCCGTCCGGCGCGCCCGCCCCGCGTTCAGCCCTGTCCCCGGCCGGAGCGGGCTCTTCACACACAATTGATTCGGTCGTTACGAAAAGTGCACTTGTCCCCTCCCCCTCCCCCTCCGGCGGCCGCCGGGCCGGGCCCGCGGGGCGCAAAGGGGCCGCGTGGGAGGGGAGGCGGGAGCCCGGGCGCGGGTCGGAGGCGCCTCCCCCTCCCGCGCCCAGGGGACGGGGCTGCAGGCCGCGGGGAGCGGGGAGCCGCGAGCGCCGAGGGCGGGCGGCCCATCTGCGAGGAGCGCTGATAACCGCGCCGCCGCCGCTGCGGCCGCCAGCAGCCCATCTGCGCCGCTGCCGCCGCCTCCGGCGGGACCGGGAGGCCAGGGGGCCGGGTCGAGGGGGTGCGCCGGGGCCAGCTTCCCGGAGTGGGAGGCCGTGGGGCGCTCAGCTCACCATCACTGCCCCCCCAAAAAAAACCCAGACCCCCTCCCCCAGCTGCAATCAGTGCCCACTTTCCCGTGTGGGTCGTATGGGTCAGCGCCCAGCCTGGGTCAGTCCTTGTCACCCTGCCAGCTCTGTGGCCCCCTGGGTCCTCCGGAGCCTGAGTGTGGCTGTGGCCGGGTCAGTGCGCCCTGGTGTGTTATTGCCTTCCACCTTCAGTGCTTCCCAGGTCAGTGCCCACCTCCCACCCCCATCCTCATCTTGAATCCCAGGAGCTGAAGCCTTGGCCTGACCTTAGCCTGGGGGCTCCTTGGAGCCAGACCTGGTAGGTGGCTCCTTGGCTCTGGGTGGGGGTGGCCCTCTCCCCTGGGGTGTGGGCCTGGGAGATCCACACAGCTGTGAGCGTGAGCGCCCCTCCCCCTGTCCAGGGCACATGCAGAATTGGGAGCACAGGCTTGGGCTCAGGGTCTTGCCAGCCCAGCTGGTGACTTTACATCCCTCCGGTGGCCCTGGACTCACCTGCTCTTTTCTCCCCTGGCAACAGGGTCCCCATAAGCCTCCACCCTGGCATTCAGACCCATAATAAAGTCTTCCCCAAGGGACCACCTGCCTGGGAGGCAGAAAAAAGGGACCCAGGTCTCCAGGAGGGCAGGGCAGGGGGATTGGTGGGGACAGACGCCCCTCCCTAGGCAGCCTGCTCCTCTGTGCTTTGACCCCACTCGCCTGGCTCGCTGGTCCCCAGCGAGCCCCTTAGTTACCTGCCGCCCACCCAGAGCAGGAGGTGTCCCAGTCTGGCCAGCCCAGCCCCATGTCCCTGTCCTGGGGCTTAGTATTATCAGGGTTCTGTTTTCCTTCCCACTGGTCTCAGGGGAGGGAATCCTGCCGGGAATGCTGGGACGGCTGTGGCCTCTCCCTGGGAAGGGCGGAACAGGACCTTCTTGGAAAGGTGCAGAGGACATCCCCTGCCCTGCTGTGCACACGTACTTGTACGCACGCGTGCATGCTCATGGGCACACATACGCACACGTGGCCGAGGTTGTCATTGTCGCTGGAGTCAGTTGGGAGAGATCCTGCAGTTTTGTCCTGGGTGGGTTTTGGTGAAGGTCATTGGGCCTCCCACCTTTGTCCTAGGCGTCCGTTCAGTTTACACAGCGCTGTGGTGGGCCCTAGGCTACCAGCCTGGGTGGGATGCCAAGCCTGCTTCTCTGGTGCCCTGCTGGCCTGGCAGGGGGTGGAGGTTGTGTTACCAAAGTCTAGGAGGTGCAGGGGCGGGCAGGTAGGCGGAACAGTCTCTGGGAACCAGGATGTGGGGATTGGTTTGTCTGGTGGTGGCCCCAGCAGCATGCAGTCCCCTGATGTCCTCAAGCCCAAGAATGGCCATGGTGCTGGCATGGTGCTCTCCTCCCCCCCCCCCCCACCACGGGAGCCTCTCTGCTCCCCTCTCCACAGCCATATGTGGTGCTGTGGTGGTGGGGGCCCTCCCTTGGCCCAGGCTGGCCGCGGGTCGATGATCTGACACCACTTGTCCTGTCCCATCTGGCCCTGGAGCTTTTCTGGGTGTGTGTGACAAAGGCCTAATCTGTCCGGACGGGCCCAGGGTGGAGAGAAGAGCCTGGGGGAGGAGCTGGGGTGATTGCACTTTGTGGGGGCCTCCTGCAGCTGGGGTCCCCTTGGAGACAGGGCGGGGCGGCGAGGAGAGGGGCCGGAAAGCCCTGAGTGTGGGCAAGAGGCAAGTTGGTCGGTGTTGTGCAGGTTATCACAGGAACTGGAAGGTGGAGGCCCAGGGCTGCCTGGGAGGAGGGCGGAGTCCGCCACAGGCCATGGTGCTGCTGTTCGGTAGGGGATAAGATCTTTTTATGACCAGAACAAGCTGGGCTGGGCAGAGCCTGCTGAAGAGTTAGACTCACCGTGAGCCAAGCCGCCTCCTGGGCGACATCCTCCAGTTCTGTCCGGCCTCATCAGCCCCTCCCAGCTCTCAGAGTGGGACTGTCACAGGAGAGGGTGGGTACCTCTGAGGGCTGTAGATGATGGCCATGGCCAGGCCCTGCACTGGCTGCTACCTCCAAGACTCTTTGGAGAAAGATGTCCTTAGCCCACCTATCCCATCTCCCATAGTGGATGTTGGGCATTGTAGGTGGTGGCTTAACTCATGATGCCACCCTGCTGGCTCTGGATGGGAAAACTGAGACTGCCTGAGGGAAAGTGAGCAAAGAGGACTTTCCATTGTCCAGGGAAGCCAGGGCTGGGTCGTGTCTGGGCTCCTGCCAGGCCCAGCCGCGCGCAGTCCCCCAGTGGGATCTGGCTCCTTGCGCGGGGCTTCTGTCAGGCGGGCCTCAGGTGTTCCTCTGGCCAAAGTGGCTAATGGTGGTCTTTTCCCGCTTTGCACACAGTGCTCATTTTGTGGCAAGAGTGTTCACAGACTCGAGTCTGCATCCCCAGAGCTTCGGTGTCAACCTTTGGCACCTGCGGCCCCCGGGCTGGGCGGGAAGCAGCCTCTGGGTTCACACAGAGCAGTGTTTGCTGTGACCTTTGGTTGAATCCCTCGGGACTTCTGATTTTCTCCAAATTGTCCCCAGAGTGGCCATTCGTGAGGTTGCCTACGGTGTGCCCAGGTTCTGGGGAACTACCACAGTGGCCTAGCTAGGGTCAGGGTTGTGATGGTGCCATTCTGTAGACTCCCCAGCTCCAGGCAGGACCCGAGCCTGGGTACCACTCTAGTTGGCTCCCGCTGGCCACCAGGTGTCCTGCAACCTGATCCAAGTGGAAAGCATAGGCCCTCCGTGAGAAGCTCTCAGTCCATCCCATTTTTGTCTGAATTCGTTTAGAAGACTCTGATCAAGGAGTCTATGCTCACAAGCTGATTCCTGGGGTCATGCAAGATGTGTAGGGGCCTGGGGAGGGTGGGGGACTCACTCAGATAGGTGTGGGTGGGGAGGAGCTCTGGGGAGAAGGCTGATGGTGGGGTGGTGGAGTCAGGCATCCATCTCATCCGCGCTGTGCCGAGCAGCGCTGGCAGGCTTGGTGTTCGCAGAGCCTATGTCATGTGGAGGATGTGGTCCTAGGGCCCCCGGCGACCTGCACAGCTGAGCCAGGTAATGTGGTGCTGGGCCACTCTGCTGGGCAGCAGGGACAGCCTGCATTCTTTCCCCTGGAGTCAGACCTGGCATGAAAGTCCTTCCCTAAAGGCACTGAGTGTTTGGGGACCCTGAAGATGTGCTGGGAGGACTACAGGGTGTAGGGGTGAGTGGGGGTGTGGCTCTGTCATAGACCTCATGGCCACGGAGGTTGTGTGATGGAGTCAGGCAGGGCTATGTGAGTATGTGTGGGTGTGAGGGGCCTGGGACTGCACCTGTCTATGCTGTGCCGGGGCAGTGTGCATGTGCACAGGTGGGGGCAGGCTGCCAGTGC